TAATTACAACATTTCTTTCTTTTCTTTCCTCCCTCCAAGCCCTTCTATATGACCCTCCCCTCTCACCTTCAAATTCATGGCCTCTTTTCACTAATTGTTATTGCATATGTGTATACACACACACACACACACACACACACACACACACACACACACACACACACACACACATATATATATAGTTGCATTTATTTATGTATTGCTAAGTACAATGTATTCAGTCTGTATAATATATGTATACTTTTAAGACTGGCTGGCAGTAGACAACCAATTGGTACGTTTTTCTCTGGGGGAAATCACCTGTCCTGCTTCCAGCTTTCCTTAGTTGCCTATAATTCTTTGTGAAAGCTTGAAACCGTATGGTTTTTTTTTTTTTTCCATCTGAGTCATTGGTGTCATCCTTGTTTAGCTCATGTTTGGGCAGTCATGTTGATGAGACTTAATGGGTGTAGCTTCTGATAGTACTAGGTAGGTGTCTTAGTTAGAGTTTTCTATTGCTGTGAAGAGACACCATGACCACGGCAACTCTTATAAAGAAAACATTTAATTGGGTGACAGTTGTAGAGGTTCAGTCCGTTGTAATCATGATGGGGAGCATGGCAATGTGTAGGCAGACCTGGTGCTGGAGCAGAGAATGCTACATCTTACAGGCAACAGGAAGTCAACTATAACACTGGGTGGTATCCTGAGCATAGGAAACCTCAAAACCCAGCCCCACAGTGACACACTTTCTCCAACAAAGCTATACCCACTCCAACAAAGCCATATCTCTTAATAGTGCTCACTCCCTATGAGATTATGGGGACCAATTACATTCAATCTACCACACTAAGAGACATAGTCTCGAAGTGAATTCCCTGATCCTCTTGGCTCTTAAAATCTTCCCACCCCCTCTTCTGTAATGTTCAGTGAGCCTTAGGTGTAGGAATGTTTTGTTGATGTATCTGTTGGGATTGGACTTGCAACTTTGCATTTTGATGTGATTTTGTGTAGTGGTCTGCTCTGTTGCAGAGACATTTCCTTGATGAGGGGTGAAGATTATCCTTATCCTTGGGTATAAGGACAAAAGCTTATAGATTGTTAGGGATTCTGCTGGTTTAATAAATTAGTGTCTGTAGATTCTCCAATAGCCATGCCTTTACTTGCACTGAATGTTGGCTAGGTTTCCAGTACCCAGCATGGTCCCCCTCTTGTTAAGTGGGTCTTAAGTCCTATTAGAGAGCTGTTGGTTACCTCCAAGGTCTGTGTGCCACTACTGCACCCTTAGCATGATCATGACATGCTAGTTGTCGATGTGGTTCATAGGCCTTATAGCTGATAGGACTGTTGGTTGCCTCCCTCCTTTGCCTTCTGATACCATGAAAGCTAGTTCTCAGGGAAGAAGCATTCAGGTCAGTTCCAGCTCAGGGTCTTTGAACCCTGTTTCTGAAGTACATGGTATCTTCAGTAATAGGAATTTACCTTCTACTTCTGGGGCATAACCAAGGATAATAGCAAAAGTCTGTGTGTTTTAGGGTCTCTTAGATGGCCCTGGGCTCAGAGGGCTTCTCATGTCTGGTATTGGTGTCTTTATTAGGTGGTCAGTCATTGGCTCATTGGAGGTGCACCATCAGTCCAGATGAGAAAAGTTCTCTAATAGGATTTTTTTAAAAAAATGATTACATAACAAAAGAATCCATCATAATAACAACTAGCAGCTTAGTCGTCCCCCCCCCCCACTTTTAGATAGGACAGGGTCTCATTATATAACCCTGGGTTGGCCTGGAGCTCACAGAGATCCACCTGCTTCTGCTTCCTAAATGCTGGAATTTCTTTTAAATTTTTGAGAGAAGTTATCACTGTGTAGTCCATCCAGACTGGCCTTGAACTCAAAGTAGTCCTCCTACCTCAGTCTTCCTAATATTGCATTACAGATGTGCATACCACACCCAGTTTAGTTATCTTATCTCTCTTTTTACTTTTGGTTTTTCGAGACAGGGTTTCTTCGTATTGCTTTGGAGGTTGTCCTGGAACTCAGGCTGGCCTCGAACTCACAGAGATTTTTTACTTATCTTTTCTTTCCAATGCCACCATAATGACAGGTGCTCCCTTTTTTACAGGGGAGGTCACTAAGGTATAGAGAGATGAAGTAGCTTATTCCAATCACTAGGTTATTAGTGATGGAGACATCACTAGGTATGCTAGTTTAGGAGTCCTAGGTGTGCTAATGCAGGTGTCTGTGATACCCCATATACCTTCCTCCTTCAGAAGTGATTCACAAGCTTTACTTCCTGCTCTTAAGTTTCTTGGACCTTTTCCACCTCATTTTTTCTTTGAAGTCCTCTTTCCCTGGTATCACCTGCCAAAGTCTCTGGTATTATACAATCTAATAAGGGAGTTCATAACATCCCCCATCATAATGACCACAGTACAACAGTAATAACAGTTTCTTAGTGTTATGAGCCCTGTATGCACCATGCTTAGCTGTTCATATCCTTTGTGGCTATTACTGTGTTCGGACAGAGCTGCAGAGAGGTGAGATGAGATAAATGCCTGTCCTAGACCATAGCTAGGAGGTGCCAGGGTCTAAGGTCAAACCCAAGATTATTGAATTCCAAGGCCTGATGAGCTCTTTAGCACAGCTCTGTACTGTAACTTGAACCCTTACTTTACCTAGTCTTGTATACTATACTGCAGCTTATATTAGTGGAGACTGCCTCTGCCTCATTCAGCCTTTATATGGGCAGCACTTGCTATTTTAGAGTGTTTTTGGAATCACCAAGATCACTAACATGGTTTGCCTGACCTGGAAGTTCCAGTCTAGTCAGAGAGACAAACCATTGAGAACACACTGCTCTGTGAAGTAGCAAGACTGACATGAGAAGATCACAAGTTCCAGTTCACCTGGGCTACAGAGCCAGTTCAAGGCCAGTTGGCTCAAGTAGCAAGTGCTTCACAGAGGGTAGAGGTACCAGTGAAGAGGGGACAGCCAGGCCCATGGGGGTTGGAGGATGAGAGTGAAAAAGCCTTCTCCAAAGAAAGCTTCATTGAGAGATGGTAGCTTGAGTCTTAAATATGAGCAACAGTTGCTGGTTGATAAAGCAGCAAGGGCAGTCTATTCAGACAGCCCACTCAGTAGAAGTCAGACCCTGTCTACTGTAGTTGGAGGCCCTGAGAGTAGATGTACTCCCCCACATTGCTGCTTCCCAGAGAGCCAGGAGTGTGATGTGTGATGCCACTGCATGCATGTTATCCTCCTGGATATATATGTATGTATGTATGTATGTATGTATGTATGTATGTATGTTATATCTACAGAGTGGGAAAAATCTGCCCCTCCCCAACCCACACTGGCAGCATTACCTTGTCCCTAGGAGAGGGTCCATTGTCCTGTGGACTGTGTGGAGAGTGTCACCGATGGCCACAGTGGGAGTGGTGTAGCAGCTGTCAAACTTTTCCAGGGATGGGGCAATGGAGATAGAGCTCAGTTGTATGTAGAGCATGGGCTTAGCATGTGTGAGGCCCTGGGATTGATCCTCAGCAACACATGCATATGTGCATGCACACACCATTTTAATCCATTCACCCAATAGCCTAATTCAGAGGAGCTGCATAGAGAACGGCTTAAATAGGTGAAGCAGGTGCCGGAAGGAGGCCTGTGAACCACAATTTGAGGCTCATGGAGAGTATGTACTGGAATCACAGTGGACACACGGATTTGTAACTAAGTACTACTGTTTGTCCCAGGACAGTACAAGTGCTGGATTACTTTAGAGGAAAGTGGGCTTTGTGTCCTCATGTGCAGCACTGTTGGTAGACCTGGCTTCCAAGGTTGGATGATTTATCTTTTTGGAGGACTTTTGATACTTATTGCATGTTAAAAATTGTACTGCAGGCTGGACATGGCTGTAATCCCAGGTGCATGGGAGGCTGAGATGAGAAGATCACAAGTTCTAGGTTTCCTGGGCCACGGAGCCAGTTCAAGACTAGTTGGGTCAAACTACTGAGACCCTGTCTCAAAATAAAATATAATAATGAAAAATGGGGAGGTGGAGTTTGTGGCCTGGTGGCAGAATCTTATTAAGCTAGCATGTCTGAGGCTGTAGGTTCATTCCCCAGCACAGTGAGAACACAGTTGAGGCTGTCCTTAAAATATAACAGACAGCCATAGTGTTACTACAAGAAGCCAGCCCAGCTGCTGGGAGCAGCTAGATCTAATTACTCCACCTCCAAGTTCTGCCTTTGTTCCCTCCCTGCTTTTCTGGACTGTAGGAGACACCGGTCCCTCTACCCTCTTCCTCTCGCTCTCCCAGTCTCACTCAGAAACTGAATGTGGCCCTGAAAGATGTCTCAGCCACCTCCCACTGAGCCTGCTTTTCCTTCCTAAGTAGACCTAAGGCTCTGAAGGTGAAGTTGCCTGGACTTTGGCCTCTCCCACCTACTTCACTTTAGATTTAGCACATGAGATTCTTCCCCTTGGACAGGAATTACTCATTCTGTCCCGCTCTGAGTCCTAGTTTCCATTGTGCTGCACTGGAGAGGAACTATAGGCATCCCAAAAGTAGTGTTTAGTGTCCTAGGCTCTGATTGTAGGATTCACTGTCTCTTGGAATCTCAGCGCCAGCCTTGCTTTGAGTCCTAGGTCAGGTACTTGGAATTGACCAGTGCCACTCTTGGCATCTGTCACTGTAGATGGTGAGGCCTGCTACATTTGCTCTCCTTCAACGCTAAATCAGAATCCCCAAGTGCACCTAGGAGCCTCTGATTTTGCCAGCTCTGTGGTTCTCTTGCATCCTGAAGTTTTTGGGTGCTGGTTTCAGGGCTTGGCAGTGCTCTTGCCTCAGTTGGGCAAGTGTGTCCCTGACATTTTTCTTGGGTTGTGACTTCTATCTGCATCTGAATGGGAAATTCTACTAGCAGAAACTTAAACACCATAGCTGTGCTATGAGTGTTGCCAATGGCCCTTGGGCCTGGCTTTCAGGTCAGTTTGTATAAGCTCTTGTTTCTTCCCTTTCTTCTAGGTACCTGTACCATGTTTTAACCAAAAACACCACCGTCACAGAACAGAACCGGAACCTGCTGGTGGAGACCATCCGTTCCATCACTGAGATCCTGATTTGGGGCGATCAGAATGACAGCTCTGTATTTGAGTAAGGCTTGCAGTTCTTTTGTTTTTTGATTCTTCCTCTTCCTTTTGAGTGTTCTTCCAAGTGTACACTATGAGTCAGGAATTGATACTAATTTTATTTTGCCTAAATATCTATAACAAATGTCCTTGAGAGACTGGAGAGGTACAAGCCCAAAATGGAAGAATTATGGAAATGAGTTTCTTTAGAAAAGGTAAAGATGTTGTGGATAGAATTCCAAGTTGTACCCTGTTATCCATTGCATGGCAAGAGCAATGTCCCAGATAGTTAGGTTCCAAATGAACAGAAAGATCCTGCCCCAAGGGAGTTGCCAGGGCCTGCACTTAATGTGTTTATTTTACTTAGTGCTTTGCATGTGCATGTATGTGATATGTATGCATGTTGGGACATGTGTGGGCATATATGTAGGTGGGTGTACATGCATGTGTGCATACACACACGCATGCTTGTGGAGATCAGAGGCTGATGTCGTCCTCCATCATTTTCCACTTAGTTTGCTAAAACAGGGTCCCTTGCTGAACCCAAAGCTGTTAAATCAATCTAGACCAATGGTTCTCAGCTTTTGGGTTGTGATCCTTAGAGGAATCAAATGGCCCTTTCACAGGGGTTGCCTAAGACCATAAGAAAACAGATATTTACATTATTATTCATAACAATAGCAAAATTATAGTTATGAAGTAGCAACGAAAGTAACTTTATGGTTGGATTATACACCACAAGGAACTGTACTAAAGGGTCGATGCATTAGGAAGGTTGAGAGCCAGTGATCTAGACTAACCAGCTTGTCTTTGGTATCCCCTGTCTCTGCTTCCTGAGGGCTTGACTTACAGGCAGGCTGCCATACTCACCCAGGTTTCATGTGGGTTCTAGGGATCTGAACTCATGCTTTTGAGGCAAGCCCTTAATTCACTGAGCTGTCTCCCCAACCCCTAGTGTTGACTGAGAGTGGGCAACAGTTCTGAGCTTTGAGAAGACAGTTTAGTAAATCCCACTCCCTACCCCCAGCCCACATGGAAGCCCTGTTGGTACCCCCATATGCAGCTGGAAGAGAGTGAAGGAGCCCATCTCATCCAGAGTCCACAAAGAACTTTCTTCCCATCTTTATACTTCTGGAACCAGCAGGCTTAGGCCAGGCTGTTTGCCTCCTTGAACTTCGTGTTTCCTTATCTTTAAAAAGGAGAGAATGCTCCCTGTCTAATACTTGGCAGCATGCCAGCCTCAAAGATGATACAAGTGATAGACAGAGGTGTTCCCATTGGACAGGTTTTAGGCTGGAAACCAGGGTTCCTCTGTACATGTCTTGAAGTCTTAATGTGTAAGGATTTAAGATTGTGTTATGAGAGCCAAGCACACATATTTTTGTGTGTGTGCTGGGGCGGGGGTGGTGAGTGTGGGTACACTTAACCAAGGTGTTCTCTTGCCATGATACATATGTGAAGGTCAGGGAACAACCTCAGGGGTGGGTTCTTGCCTTCCACATTGTTTGAGACAGGATTTCTTGTTCACTGCTGTGTATGCCAGGCTAGCTAACCCTTGAGCTTCCATGGAATTCTGTCTGCTTCCCCTCTCACTGTAGGAGCTCTGAGGTTAAAGGTGGCTTCTAGGGATTCAGGCTCAGGTCCTCATGCTTGTGTGGCAAGCACTTTACCCACTGATCTGTCTTCCTAGCCCAGGCATCTAAGTTACCTTGATTTGTTTGCAGGACAGCTCTCAGTGGAAAATGCAAACTTCTTGAGTATGAGCCTGAGACATGCCATGATCCCTGAAGGAAAAGATGGGCACCTAGTATGGTTTAGCAATGGAAGGGATTCCTTTTACAGACCTATTGGCTGAGAAATAAAAGGAGCTTGGGATAACCTTTATTAGAAAAACACTAGCCAGACGCAAGCCAGAGCGTGCCAGGGGCAGCAAAGCAGGCAGGCCAGAGAGAAGGGGCTCCCATGTGCTTTGCAGTCCCTTAAAACCCTATTATGCGTCATCCTGACCTCACCTTAACCACGCCCTGACAGACATGGTCAGGCACACCTGTAGCCAGATTCTAGCAGGTATGGCTTACACTGTCCCCTACACAGACCCATTAAGAATTTCTTTCTTTATTTGTTGTTGAAATGAGAAAAAACTTCAGGTTAAAGATTAGAGACTGTGTCTGGCACCTTCTTTCTAGAATGGAGCCTGTTCATCAGCTTAGAAAAATTTCTGAGCACCAGGTGTGCTGGCTTGAGGCAGACCTGTAACCCTATGGAAACTGTGATAGAAGAATCCTGAGTTCGAGGTCAGCCTGAGCTTAGAGACCCTGATTCAAAAAGAAAAAAAAAAAAAGTGCTAAGTGCTTCAAGTTTAGTTTTACTTTAGGTGAGGACCCCATACTATGCTATTTGTTACTCTGTTGCTTTAGGTACTAGGGCCTCTGCCCAGTTGGCTCCTTTGTCCCTTACTTTTTGAACATTTTCCTTATTTCCTGGTACTATATGATACTCCAGACTCATTTTATAGTATTGATGACCCAGACTCAACCATTTTCCCAAGTATTCTCCCATTCCCCTAAGAATTTTTCAAAAATCCAGCCTTGAAGCTGGAAAGATGCTTGCCATACAAACATGAATTCGAATCCCCAGAACTTATATAAAAGTATGTTTGTAATCTCAGTGCTTGAGTGGTGAGATGGGAGGCAAGCCAGTAGCTTGATATGACACTCACCCTCAAACAAGGTGGAAGATGAGGACCAACATCCAAAACTTCTTGATGGCTTCTACATGCTTGCCATGTATATACATGCCCCAACACAGACATACACATCATACATACAAAGATAAAAAACATCCAGCCTTGAGAGTTTCACTTCAGACCTACTAAGTCACCCCTGCAGCAAAATCTAGGCACAGACGTCTGGCAGCTTCCCCTACTGGCCACCCTTGGTATTGAGTGTGCTGATGATTCTACCAAGTCACTGCTTTGTATAACCAAAAGCAGAGGCAGACAATAGGACAGATGGCAGAAATGCCCTGGGGTTTAATTGGAGCAGTGTGTACAGGCAGATAGGATTCTGGAGTCAAAGTGAGAAAAGGATTTAGGGTTTTTTTTTCTGCAGATTTTTTTTTATTTGAATTAGAAACAAGATTGTTTTACATGTCAATCCCAGTTCCCTCTTCCTCCCCTCCTCCCCTACCACTCCCCCAACTAAACCACTACCTATCACATAGCCTTTCTGCTCCCCCTGGATGGTGAGGCCTTCCATAGGGTGTCGTCAGAGTCCATTGTATCCTTATGCGTCAGGATGATGCATAATAGGGTTTTAAGGGACTGCAAAGCCTAGGCCCACCCCCGTGTGTCTCAGCTCAGGGAGTATTCCTCTATGTGGAATGGGCTCCCAAAGTCCACACCTATGCTAGGGATAAGTACTGAACTACTACAGGAGGTTTCCTCACTGAAACCCATGTTCCTGGGGTCTGGATCAGTCCCATGCTGGTATCCTAGCTATCAGTCTGGGGATTTCTGCGGGTTCAGCTGTTTCTGTGGGTTTCACCAACCTCATCCGGACCCCTTTGCTTTTCACTTGTCCTCTGCAACAGGATTCCAGTTCAGTTCAGTGATTAGTTGTGGGTGTCTGCTTCTACTTCCATCAGTTGCTGGATGAGGGCTATCTGGTAGCATATAAGTCAGTCATCAATCTCATTATTAGGGGAGGGCATTTAAGGTAGCCTCTTCTCTGTTGCTTAGATTGTTAGCTGGTGTCATCTTTGTAGATCTCCAGACATTTCCCTAGTGCCTG